TGCCGGGGGAAGAGCCTGGAAAAGGATCCGAGGGAGGACAGGAGCTTCTCTGGGAACCTGTGCCAGGCTCACCACCTCCAGAGCCAGGAATTCCTTCCCTGGATCCCGTCTGTCCCTGCCCTCTGCTTGGAATGGCTCCGAGTTTTCATGGAATGCTTCGGGTGGGAAGGGACCTTAAAGATCATCCCGTTCCAACCTTGACACCTTCTGCTATCCCAGGGTGCTCCAACCTGGCCTTGGGCACTTCCAGGGATCCGGGGATTCTATGGGAATTCCAGCCCAGCCAGAGGAACATTCCCGGCTCTCCCAGCCTGGCATTGGATCCATCCCCATCCCGATTCTTCCTTGAGTAGGAATTCCGTGATCCAAGGGCTTCACTGGGAATTCAGGACTCCAGGAAGGATCTCCCTTCACTTTTCCATCCCCGAATTCCATAAAAATCCCTCAGGATGGATCCTGAGTGTCCTTGATCCCAGAATCCCGGAATGGCTTGGATGGGATCCACGGACCTTCAATCCCATCCCAGGGATACTTCCACGATCTCAGGGTGATCCAAACTTTCCTTGGGCACTGCCAGGGATCCAGGGATTCCCTGGGAATTCCAGCCCAGCCAGGAATTCCTTCCCAAGCTCCCTTTTCCCAGTGGGAAGCCATTCCCTGTGTCCTCTCCCTCCATCCCTTGTCCCCAGTCCCTCTCCAGCTCTCCTGGAGCCCCTTTGGGATCGGGAATGGGCTCTGAGCATTCCCTGGATCCTTCCCTTCTCCAGCTGGACATTCCCAGCTCTCCCAGTCCTTGGAGCAGCTCCGGGGCCTCCTCTGGGCTCTCTCCAGCAGCTCCAGATCCCGATGTTGGATCCCGGAGCTGGAGCAGGTGGGAAATTCCAGGAGGAATTTCCTGTTCCTTCCTCAGCCCTCTCCAGGCATTGAGCACCTGGGAGCCGAAATTCCTGGATCCACCTGGATCCAAGAGGAGCAGGGAAGTCACCACCACACCTGGGAATGTTTTGGATTCCCACCAGGTCAGAAAACAGGGACAGCTGCAGGAATCCAGAGCCTCCAGTCCTGAGGAAAAGGACTGGATGATCCTTGTGGGACCGTTCCAGCTCAGGGTATTCCATAGAATAAATCCAAGGAATATTTTCCAAAAGAAAAGTGCTGCTGCTCTGGCAGGAAGGGAATCACGTTGTTTTCCAAACCCTGAAATCCAAATCCTGAAATCCTCATCTTGGAGGAGAAGAAGGACGTTTCCATGGGATTCATTATTTCTTCTGGGCTGGGAATTACGGAGCAAACAAAGGAAAGGTTTTCCCGCTCCGTGTCCTGCCTTGGAGACAGAGCTCAGCCAGGATTGATCCGTGCTTGGAATGTGGAAAATGAGGGATGGAGGTGGAAATCCAGGAGGGGCTGGAGTGTGTCCAGGGAAGGGAACGGAGCTGGGAAGGGAACGGAGCTCCAGGAGGGGTGAGGGAGATGGGAAGAGGCTCAGCCTGGAGAAAAAGAGGCTCAGGGGGGACCTTTTCCCTCTCCACAATTCCCTGGGAAGAGCCGGAAGGGATCGGGATCTGCTCCCAGGGAGCAGGGGCAGGATGAGATGGAACAGCCACGGGGAGGTTCAGGTTGGATTTTGGGAACAATTCCTTCACATCATCGGAGCTTGGAGCCACCTGGGACGGCGGAAGGAATGGGGATGAGCTCCAAGGTCCATTCCCACCCAAAGCATTCCATGATTCCATGACCTGGATGAGGGACAGTCCCTGGTCCGTGTTTGAGTCACCAGCATGGAAACCACTGTGGGCATTCCGTATGGAAAAGGCCACTTTGGGATCCCTCAGCGGCATCCCAGGAATTCCAGAGTGATGGTTCCCAAATCTCCATCTTTCCTTATCCCAACAGCATTCCCTTGGGATGGTTCCTCTCTCAGCTTCTCCTTTCCCACCATCTCCACCGAGCCACGATTTGGGATCTCTCCTCTCCCTCTTCCTAAGGTTCCATGGTTCCCAAATCTTCTTTCCTTATCCCGACAGCATTCCCTTGGGATGGATCCTCTCTTGGCTTCTCCTTTTCCACCATCTCCACCAAGCCACAATCTGGGATCTCCCCTTTCCTAAGGTTCCACGGTTCCCAAATCTCCTTCTTTCCTTATCCCGACAGAATTCCCTTGGGATGTCTCCACTCTCGGCTTCTCCTTTTCCCATCATCTCCACCGAGCCACAATCTGGGATCTCCTCTCTCCCTCTTTCTAAGGTTCCACAGTTCCCAAATCTCCTTCTTTCCTTATCCCAACAGAATTCCCTTGGGATGTCTCCTCTCTCAGCTTCTCCTTTTCCACCATCCCCACCAATGATCTGGGATCTCCCCTCTCCCCTTTCCTAAGGTTCCATGGTTCCCAAATCTTCTTTCCTTATCCCAACAGCATTCCCTTGGGATGTCTCCACTCTCGTCTTCTCCTTTTCCACCATCTCCACCAAACACTGATCTGGGATCTCCCATCTCCTTCTTCCTAAGGTTCCACAGTTCCCAAATCTCCTTCTTTCCTTATCCCAACACCATTCCCTTGGGATGGATCCTCTCTCAGCTTCTCCTTTTCCACCATCTCCACCAAGCCCCGATCTGGGATCTCCCCTCTCCCCATTCCTAAGGTTCCATGGTTCCCAAATCTTCTTTCCTTATCCCAACAGCATTCCCTTGGGATGTCTCCTCTCTCAGCTTCTCCTTTTCCACCATCTCCACCAAGCCACGATCTGGGATCTCCCCTTTCCTAAGGTTCCACAGTTCCCAAATCTCCTTTCCTTATCCCGACAGCATTCCCTTGGGATTGTTCCTCTCTCAGCTTCTCCTTTTCCACCATCTCCACCAAGCCCCGATCTGGGATCTCCTCTTTCCTAAGATTCCATGGTTCCCAAATCTTCTTCTTTCCTTATCCCAACAGCATTCCCTTGGGATGGATCCGCTCTCAGCTTCTCCTTTTCCCACCATCTCCACCGAGCCACAATCTGGGATCTCCCTTCTCCTTCTTCCTAAGGTTCCACAGTTCCCAAATCTCCTTCTTTCCTTATCCCAACAGAATTCCCTTGGGATGTCTCCTTTTCCACCATCTCCACCGAGCCACGATCTGGGATCTCCCCTTTCCTAAGGTTCCACAGTTCCCAAATCTCTTTCTTTCCTTATCCCAACACCATTCCCTTGGGATGGCTCCTCTCTCGGCTTCTCCTTTTCCCACCATCTCCACCGAGCCACGATTTGGGATCTCCCTTCTCCCTTTTCCTAAGGTTCCACAGCTCCAAAATCTCCTTTCCTTATCCCGACAACATTCCCTTGGGATGTCTCTTCTCTCGGCTTCTCCTTTTCCCATCATCTCCACCAATCTGGGATCTCCCCTTTCCTAAGGTTCCATGGTTCCCAAATCTCCTTCTTTCCTCATCCCAACAGCATTCCCTTGGGATGTCTCCTCTCTCAGCTTCTCCTTTTCCCATCATCTCCACCAAGCCCCGATCTGGGATCTCCCCTCTCCCCTTTCCTAAGGTTCCACGGTTCCCAAATCTCCTTCTTTCCTTATCCCAACAGCATTCCCTTGGGATGGATCCTCTCTCAGCTTCTCCTTTTCCACCATCTCCACCGAGCCACGATCTGGGATCTCCCCTCTCCTTCTTCCTAAGGTTCCATGGTTCCCAAATCTTCTTTCCTTATCCCAGCAGCATTCCCTTGGGATAGATCCTCTCTCCGTTTCTCCTCTTCCACCATCTCCACCAAGCCATGATGTGGGATCTCCCCTTTCCTAAGGTTCCACAGTTCCCAAATCTCCTTCTTTCCTTATCCCGACACCATTCCCTTGGGATGTCTCCTCTCTCGGCTTCTCCTTTCCCACCATCTCCACCAAACACTGATCTGGGATCTCCCCTTTCCTAAGGTTCCACAGTTCCCAAATCTCCTTTCCTTATCCCAACAGCATTCCCTTGGGATGTCTCCTTTTCCACCATCTCCACCGAGCCCCGATCTGGGATCTCCCCTCTCCACAGTTCCCAAATCTCCTTTCCTTATCCCAACAGCATTCCCTTGGGATGTCTCCTCTCTCCGCTTCTCCTTTTCCCACCATCTCCACCGAGCCCCGATCTGGGATCTCCCCTCTCCCTTTTCCTAAGGTTCCGTGGTTCCCAAATCTTCTTCTTTCCTTATCCCAACACCATTCCCTTGGGATGGCTCCTCTCTCGGCTTCTCCTTTTCCACCATCTCCACCGAGCCACGATCTGGGATCTCCCCTTTCCTAAGGTTCCACAGTTCCCAAATCTCCTTCTTTCCTTATCCCAACAGCATTCCCTTGGGATGTCTCCTCTCTCAGCTTCTCCTTTTCCACCATCTCCACCAATGATCTGGGATCTCCCCATTCCTAAGGTTCCACAGTTCCCAAATCTCCTTCTTTCCTTATCCCGACAGCATTCCCTTGGGATGTCTCCTCTCTCAGCTTCTCCTTTTCCACCATCTCCACCAATGATCTGGGATCTCCCCATTCCTAAGGTTCCACAGTTCCCAAATCTCCTTCTTTCCTTATCCCGACAGCATTCCCTTGGGATGGTTCCTCTCTTGGCTTCTCCTTTTCCCATCATCTCCACCGAGCCACGATCTGGGATCTCCCCTCTCCACAGTTCCCAAATCTCCTTCTTTCCTTATCCCAAGAGCATTCCCTTGGGATGGATCCTCTCTTGGCTTCTCCTTTTTCCACCATCTCCACCAAGCCCCGATCTGGGATCTCCCCTTTCCTAAGGTTCCACAGTTCCCAAATCTCCTTCTTTCCTCATCCCAACAGCATTCCCTTGGGATGTCTCCTTTCTCAGCTTCTCCTTTTCCCACCATCTCCACCAATCTGGGATCTCCCCTCTCCCTCTTCCTAAGGAAAACGGGAAGCAGATCCCAGCGCAGCTCCTCGGACAGAAAATCCCTTTTCCCGTGAAATCCCGGTCCCGGTGTGTGAGAATTCCCGGGATTTCCTCTCCTTTGCTCCGCAGGCTCATCGGGACGTTCCGGATGGTCCTGCAGAAGGTGGTGGCGGAAGGGCAGCTGGAGGTGACGGACACGCTCATCGACGACAACAATTCCGCCATCCAGGTGGGTCACCGAGGCCAACATTCCCGGAATTCCCGGATCCGCGTGTCCGTGTCTCCGCGGAAATTTGGGAACGGGGACATCGGCGTTCCTCGCCATAAAATCCCTCGGGATGGATCCTGAGTGTCCTTAATCCCACAGTCCCGGAATGGTTTGGGATGGGATCCATGGACCTTCAATCCCATCCCAGGGACGCTTCCCACCATCCCGGGGTGATCCAAACCCACCCTGGGACATTCCCAGGGTGCTCCAGGGATTCTCTGGGAATTCCAGCCCAGACGGGAATTCCTTCCCCAGATCCCAAAATCCCAAGCTCCCCTTTCCCACTGGGAATTCCATTCCCTGGCTCCTGCCCCTCCAGCCCTTCCCCAAATTCCAGCTCTCCTGGTGCCCCCTTTGGGATCGGGAAGCGGCTCCAAGGATTCCCTGGATCCTTCCCCGATCCAGGGGAACATTCCCAGCTCTTCCAGAGCTTGGGGTGGGATCTTGGGAAGGAATTCCCGGCTCTGAAAAGGAGCTGCTCTGGAAATGGGATCTTCATCCTCATCTCCACAAGGACGGAATTCCGGCTGGGAGGGTGGGAATTCCACAGCTGGGCTGGAATTCCCAGAGAAATTCCGGCTGCCCCTGGATCCCTTGGGGTGTCCAAGGCTTGGAGCAGCCCGGGGCAGTGGGAAGTGTCGGGGTTGGAATGAGATGGGATTTGAAGCCTTTTCCCACCCAAACCAGTCTGGGATCCCAGGATTCCATCCCATTCCCACCAGGAACTACGTTCCCACCAGGAATTTGGGAGGATTCCATTTCCATCCATTGATTTTTCCCTCTCTGCCTTTTGTGACACAGAACGATCCCAAAAATACGGGATTTTCCTCCCTTGGAGGCAACTTCCCAAAAAACCAGAGAGCAGCTGGAATTATTTTTCCCAAGCACATCCGCGCTCCCGGAATTTCCCATCCCTCCTCAGGGCTGAATTCCTGGTTTTTATTGGATCCGCTCCCTCTATCCCACCCCCGGGAGAAGCCGATTAATGAAATCCCGCTCTGCTCCCTGATAATTCCAAGAATTCCACTGATCCGCCCCTGTCCTCGGTGCTGGATGAGGCAGCGGATTCCCGGGAAAAGGACGGGGGTGGATGATTTTTTAATGGAAGCTCCGGGTTTGGATATCGGGATCAGAAACAGCCGCGTTTCCAAGCGCGTTCCCAAATTCCGTTTCCATGGGAAACGGCTCCCGGGAGATGGAAAAGCAGCGAGGGAACAGCGGGAGATTTTCCATCGGGATGGGGGATCGGGATGGGAGCGTGGGGGGGTTCCACATCCCGCTTTTCCCAAAGGTTGTGGGAATTATGGAATGAGGAGATGCCAAGGGTTTGGGAAAACAGAGTTGGAGGCCATGGAGCTGCTCCGAGAGTTGGGAATGTTCCCCTGGATCAGGGAAGGATCCAGGGAATCCTTGGAGCCTTTTCCAGAGGGAAAGGAGAGCTGGAATTTGGGGAAGGGCTGGAGGGGCAGGAGCCAGGGAATGGAATTCCCAGTGGGAAAGGGGAGCTCGGGATTTTGGGATCTTGGGAAGGAATTCCTGGCTGGGCTGGAATTCCCAGAGAATCCCTGGGAATGTCCAAGGGTGGGTTTGGATCACCCCGGGATCCTGGGAAGTGTCCCTGGGATGGGATTGGAGCTCCATGATCCCATCCCAAACCATTCCAGGATTCTGGGATCGAGGACACTCAGGATCCATCCCGAGGGATTTTATGGAATTTCGGGATGGAAAAGGGAAGGGAGACCCTTCCTGGAGTCCCAAATTCCCAGTGAAGCCCCTGGATCCCAAAATTCCTTCTCCAGGAGGAATCGGGGTGGGGATGGATCCAATGCCAGGCTGGGAGAGCCGGGAATGTTCCCCTGGATCAGGGAAGGATCCAGGGAATCCTTGGAGCCGCTTCCCGATCCCAAAGGGGCTCCAGGAGAGCTGGAATTTGGGGAAGGGCTGGAGGGGCAGGAGCCAGGGAATGGAATTCCCAGTGGGAAAGGGGAGTTGGGATTTTGGGATCTTGGGCAGGAATTCCCGGCCGGGCTGGAATTCCCAGAGAATCCTCAAGCAGCAGGAAAAAAATCCGTAAAAAATCAATTTAAAATCCCCAGGGAAAATCAAAATTTCTCCTTCTTCATCTTCTCTCCCATTCCAGCGGGAATTTGTTATTCCCAGTGGGAATTTTTCCAGCCCACGGCCCCTAATTGCTATTCCAAGGTTTGATCCCACACATTTCACGTTGTCACATCCCGAATTTTCCCTGCCTTGAAAGGATTTTTTAACTCCGAAATCCAGCTGGAAAAAGGAGATTTTAACCCCCAGCATCTGAAAATGTGGAAAAAAATTAATATTGGAACTGTGATCTCTGATTTTCTTCCTCATTTTTAGATTTTTTTGGGATTTTGGGATTTTTTGGGGTTTTTTTCTGGTTTTTTGGGGGTTTTTTTGGGGGTTTTTGGGGGGTTTTTTTGGGATTTTTTCTGGTTTTTTTCTGGTTTTTTGGGTTTTTTTGGGGGGGTTTTTTGGGGATTTTTTCTGGTTTTTTGGGGGGTTTTTTTGGGATTTTTTGGGTTTTTTTGGGGGGTTTTTTGGGATTTTTTCTGTTTTTTTGGGGGGTTTTTTGGGATTTTTTCTGGTTTTTTGTGGGTTTTTTTGGGTTTTTTTTGGGATTTTTTTGGGATTTTTTCTGGGTTTTTTGGGGGTTTTTTGGGGTTTTTTGGTGGGTTTTTTTCTGGTTTTTTTCTGTTTTTTTGTGGGGTTTTTTTGGGGATTTTTTCTGGTTTTTTGTGGGTTTTTTTTGGGGTTTTTTTTGGGTTTTTTCTGGTTTTTTTGGGGGATTTTTTGGGGTTTTTTTGGGTTTTTTTCTGGTTTTTTTGGGGCTTTTTTGGGGGTTTTTTGGGTTTTTTTCTGTTTTTTGGGGGGTTTTTTGGGGATTTTTTTGGGTTTTTTCTGGTTTTTTGGTGGGTTTTTTTGGGGGATTTTTGGGGTTTTTTTGGGTTTTTTTCTGGTTTTTTGTGGGTTTTTTTGGGATTTTTTCTGGTTTTTTCTGGTTTTTTGGAGAGTTTTTTTGGGGTTTTTTGGGTTTTTTTCTGGTTTTTTGGGGGTTTTTTTGGGGTTTTTTTTGTTTTTTTTCTGGTTTTTTTGGGTTTTTTTGGGGGGTTTTTTTTGTGGTTTTTTCTGGTTTTTTGTGGGGTTTTTTGGGGGTTTTTTGGGGGGTTTTTTTGGGGATTTTTTCTGTTTTTTTGTGGGGTTTTTTTGGGGTTGTTTTTTGGGGTTTTTTTCTGGTTTTTTGGGGTTTTTTTGGGTTTTTTCTGGTTTTTTGGTGGGTTTTTTTTGGGTTTTTTTGGGATTTTTTCTGTTTTTTTGGTGGGTTTTTTTGGGGTTTTTTGGGGTTTTTTTGGGATTTTTTTCTGGTTTTTTGGAGAGTTTTTTTGGGGTTTTTTGGTTTTTTTTCTGTTTTTTTGGGGGTTTTTTTGGGGTTTTTTTGGGTTTTTTTCTGGGGTTTTTTGGGGTTTTTTTGGCGGTATTTTGGGGTTTTTTCTGTTTTTTTGGGGGTTTTTTTGGGGGGGTTTTGGGTTTTTTTCTGGTTTTTGGGGGGTTTTTTTGGGGGTTTTTTTGGGGATTTTTTCTGGTTTTTTTGGGTTTTTTTGGGGGGGTTTTTTGGGATTTTTTCTGGTTTTTTGGAGAGTTTTTTTGGGGTTTTTTGGGTTTTTTTTCTGTTTTTTTGGGGTTTTTTTGGGGTTTTTTTGGGGTTTTTTTCTGGTATTTTGGGGTTTTTTGGGGGGTTTTTTGGGTTTTTTTCTGGTTTTTTGGGGGGTTTTTTTGGGATTTTTTGGGTTTTTTGTGGGTTTTTTTGGGGGGTTTTTGGGGTTTTTTTTGGGGTTTTTTCTGTTTTTTGGGGGGTTTTTTGGGGTTTTTTTTGGGATTTTTTCTGGTTTTTTGGGGTTTTTTTGGGGGTTTTTTTGGGTTTTTTTCTGGTTTTTTGGGGGGGTTTTTGGGGTTTTTTTGGGATTTTTTCTGGTTTTTTGGGGTTTTTTTTTGGGGTTTTTTTGGGTTTTTTGGGGGATTTTTTCTGGTTTTTTTGGGGTTTTTTTTGGGTTTTTTTGGGGGGGTTTTTTGGGATTTTTTCTGTTTTTTTGTGGGTTTTTTGGGGTTTTTTTTGACATTCTCCAATAGCTTTGGGCGGAAAATTAGGTTTGATTGACTCAGATTCTTTTTTTAACAAAAAAAAAGATAAATCAATCAAAACCTCCCTCAGATCTGATGGGGGAAGGTTTTGATTAAAAAATAAGATAGAAACTTGATAAATAAGAGAATTAATTGGAAAATAAGATTGAAAAATAAGATAAATCAATCAAAACCTTCCCCCAGAGCTGGGATTGGGGGGGAAGGTTTTGATTGAAAAATAAGATTAAAAATTGAAAAATAAAGAATCAAAAAACAAGATTGAAAAATAAAATTAAAAATTGAAAACAGTAAATAATTTAAAAGTAAGATTGAAAAATAAAATTAAAAATTGAAAACAGTAAATAATTTAAAAGTGAGATTGAAAAATAAGATTAAAAATTTGAAAAATAAGATAAATAATTGAAAAATCAGATAAAAAAAAAGATTAAATCAATTAAAACCTGCACCCCCAGAGCTGCACTGAGTCACCCTTTGGTTGTCACATGTGCATCTCCTCTTAAACATTTCTTAAAATATAAAAATATTGTTTTTATAATATAAAGATATAAATATAAATATATAAATAAAAATATTAAAAATATTAAAAATATAGAAATATAAATAAAATTATTAAAAATAATATAAATATAAATATAAATATAAATATAAATATAAATATAAATATAAATATAAATATAAATATAAATATAAATATAAATATAAATATAAATATAAATATAAATATAAATATAAATATAAACGTAAATATAGATATAGATATAGATATAGATATAAATATAAATATATATAAATGTAAATATAAATATAAATATAAATATAAATATAAATATAAATATAAATATAAATATAAATATAAATATAAATATAAATATAAATATAAATATAAATATAAATATAGATATAGATATAGATATAGATATAGATATAAATATAAATATAAATATAAATATAAATATAAATATAAATATATATAAATGTAAATATAAATATATATAAATGTAAATATAAATATAAATGTAAATATAAATATAAATATAAATATAAATATAAATATAAATATAAATATAAATATAAATATAAATATAAATATAAATATAAATATAAATGTAATGTAAATGTAAATATAAATATAAATATAAATATAAATATAAATATAAATATAAATATAAATATAAATATAAATATAGATATAGATATAAATATAAATGTAATGTAAATATAAATATAAATATAAATATAAATATAAATATAAATATAAATATAAATATAAATATAAATATAAATATAAATATAAATATAAATATAAAAATTAAAAATATTAAGAATTATATATATATTTTATATATTTTTAAATTTTATATAAAATATTATAAAAATTGTAGCATTTTCTCTTTTTTTCTATCTTTTTTTCCCCCTTTCTTTCTCTTTCTCTTTTCTTCTTTTTCTTATTTTTTTTTTTTGGTTTTTATCTAAAATCCGTTGCTTTTGAAGCTAAAATTACAGATAATTTCTCCATGGAAGCAGAGTGGAGGTGGAAAATTGCTTTTTTCTTGTGCTTTTATCTCGGCAGCCGCTGATGGATTTTCAAAAGAGAAGATTTTAGGAGAAAAAAATGAAATATTTTAGGGAGAAAAAAAGATTTTAGGGAGAAAAAAGGAAATATTTTAGGGGTAAAAATATTTTAAGGTAAAAAATTAGAAGATTTTAGGGGGAAAAAAGGAAATGTTTTAGTGAGGAAAAAAGATTTTAAGGAGAAAAAAATTGAAATATTTTAGGGAGGAAAAAAAGGTTTTAGGAAGAAAAAAGGAAATATTTTATGGGTAAAAATATTTTAAGGTGAAAAAATAGAAGATTTTAGGGGGGAAAAAGGAAATGTTTTAGTGAGGAAAAAAAGATTTTAAGGAGGAAAAAAATGGAAATATTTTAGGGAGAAAAAAGGAAATATTTTAGGGGGAAAAATATTTTAAGGTGAAAAAATAGAAGATTTTAGGGAGAAAAAAAGGAAATGTTTTAGTGAGGAAAAAGATTTTAAGGAGGAAAAAATGAAATATTTTAGGGAGAAAAAAGGAAATATTTTAGGGGGAAAATATTTTAAGGTGAAAAAATAGAAGATTTTTGGGGGAAAAAAGGAAATGTTTTAGTGAGGAAAAAAGATTTTAAGGAGGAAAAAAAATGAAATATTTTAGGGAGAAAAAAGGAAATATTTTAGGGAGAAAAAAATGAGATATTTTATGGAGAGAATAAGATTTCAAGGATAAAAAAGGAAATAATTTAGGGAGAAAAAAGATTTTAAGGAAAAAAATGAAAGATTTCAGGGAGAAAAAAATGAAATATTTTAGGGAGAAAAAAAGGAAATATTTTAGGGAGAAAAAAAGATTTTAAGGAAAAAAGATAGAAACTGATAAATGTCAGAGATAAAAACTGATAAACGTCAGATATAAAACTGATAAACGTCACATATAAAATTGGATAAATGTCTGAGATAAAAACTGATAATATCTGAGATAAAAACTGATAAACGTCTGAGATAAAAACCGATAAATGTCAGAGATAAAAACTGATAAACGTCTGAGATAAAAACCAATAAACGTCTGAGATAAAAACTGATAAATGTCAGAGATAAAAACCGATAAACGTCTGAGATAAAAATTGATAAACGTCTGAGATAAAAACCGATAAATGTCTGAGATAAAAACTGATAAACGTCAGAAATAAAATGTGATAAACATCTGAGATAAAATGTGATAAACATCTGAGATAGATAAAAACTGATAAATGAGATAAAAACTGATAAACGTCTGAGATAAAAACTGATAAACGTCTGAGATAAAAACTGATAAACGTCAGATATAAAATTGGATAAATATCTGAGATAAAAACCGATAAACATGTGAGATAGATAAAAACTGATAAGCATCAGAGATAAAAACCAATTAACGTCTGAGAAAACTGATAAACGTCAGAGATAAAAACCAATTAACATCTGAGATAAAAACAGATAAACGTCTGAGAAAACTGATAAACATCAGAGATAAAAATTGATAAACATCTGAGATAAAAACCGATAAAAATCTGAGTCCCATCACGAAATTCCATCTCCCATTTAATCCCGCCCTTGGCAGAAGAAAAGGAGCAGCGGTTCCTCATCCAGGAACGGAGGAACTTTGGGACCAGCGAGGCTGGAACCCCCAACGGTCGACGCTCTTCCCGGATTTTGGATTTCCCGGGATATTCCGCGGGCGCTGAGGGCATCTCCGTGTCTTTCAGACCAGCATCTCCATCGAGATCCGCTACCAGGCTCTGGGTGGGACGGTGGGCACCTGGAGTGACAAGGAGTTCCTGGAGACGCCCAGCGAGCACTCGGAGGGAGATGGGAGATATTCCTTGGAGACCGACAGTCTCCTGTCCGGCCACCGGCACGGCTCCGATGTTCCTCCCGGGAAATCCAACCAGCAACCCTCGGAGAGGAGCTTCAGGAGGTACAACGGGACACGGAGATCGTGGATGTGGGATTGTGGGGGGATTGGGAGGGTTTGGATTGTCAGGAAAGGGAAGAGTCATCCCAGAGCTGCTCCAAGGGGCATCTCCTGACCTTGGAAGATCCATGGAGAGCTCCAGGTGAGGGTGGGATCCAGGTGGCCTCCAGCAGCTCCTGGTGCTCCAGGACAGAGCTGAACTTCCAGGATTGTAGCACATGGACAGGAACCATCATTCCATCCTGATCCCGAGGGGATAAAAGGTCTGGAAAGGGGTCAGGGCTCACTGGTGGATCCATGGAACATCTCCAGGTGAGGGTGGGATTCAGGTGGCCTCCAGCAGGTCCTGGTGCTCTGGGACAGAGCTGAACTTCCAGGATTGTAGCACATGGACAGGAAGCACCATTCCATCCTCATCCCAAAAGGTCTGCATGGGGGTCAGGGTTCACTGGTGGATCCATGGAACATCTCCAGGTGAGGGTGGGATCCAGGTGGCCTCCAGCAGATCCTGGTGCTCCAGGACAGAGCTGAACTTCCAGGATTGACAAGCTTGGTGGGAAAGTGTCATTCCATCCTGATCCCGAGGGGATAAAAGGTCTGGATGGAAGTCAGGGCTCACTGGTGGATCCATGGAACATCTCCAGGTGAGGGTGGCATCCAGGTGGCCTCCAGCAGCTCCTGGTGCTCCGGGACAGAGCTGAACGTCCAGGATTGAAAAGCTTGGAGAGAAAGTGTCATTCCATCCTGATCCCAAGGAGATGAAAGGTCTGGAAGGGGGTCAGGGTTCACTGGTGGATCCATGGAACATCTCCAGGTGATGGTGGGACCCAGGTGGCCTCCAGCAGCTTCTGGTGCTCCAGGACAGAGCTGAACTTCCAGGATTGAAAAGCTTGGAGAGAAAGTGTCATTCCATCCTGATCCTGAGGGGATGAAAGGTCTGGAAAGTGGTCAGGGCTCACTGGTGGATCCATGGAACATCTCCAGGTGAGGGTGGGATCCAGGGGTGCTCCAGCAGCTTCTGGTGCTCCAGGACAGAGCTGAACTTCCCAGGATTGTAGCACATGGACAGGAAGAATCATTCCATCCTCATCCCAAAAGGTCTGGATGGGGGTCAGGGCTCACTGGTGGATCCATGGAACAGCTCCAGGTGAGGGTGGCATCCAGGTGGCCTCCAGCAGGTCCTGGTGCTCTGGGACAGAGCTGGATTGAAAAGTTTGGAGGGAAAGTGTCATTCCATCCTGATCCCGAGGGGATGGAAGGTCTGGATGGGGTCAGGGCTCACTGGTGGATCCATGGAACATCTCCAGGTGAGGGTGGGATCCAGGTGGCCTCCAGCAGCTCCTGGTGCTCTGGGACAGAGCTGAACTTCCAGAATTGAAAAGCTTGGAGAGAAAGTGTCATTCCATCCTGATCCTGAGGGAAAAAAGGTCTGGATGGAGGTCAGGGTTCACTGGTGGATCCATGGAACATTCCCAGGTGAGGGTGGGATCCAGGTGGCCTCCAGCAGCTCCTGGTGCTCCACCACACCTGGAGAGAGCTGAACTTCCCAGGATTGTAGCACATGGACAGGAAGCATCATTCCATCCTCATCCCAAAAGGTCTGGATGGGGGTCAGGGCTCACTGGTGGATCTGTGGAACATCTCCAGATGAGGGTGGCATCCAGGTGACCTCCAGCAGCTCCTGGTGCTCCACCACACCTGGAGAGAGCTGAACTTCCCAGGATTGTAGCACATGGACAGGAAGCATCATTCCATCCTCATCCCAAAAGGTCTGGATGGGGGTCAGGGCTCACTGGTGGATCCATGGAACATCTCCAGGTGAGGGTGGGATCCAGGTGGCCTCCAGCAGCTCCTGGTGCTCCAGGACAGAGCTGAACTTCCAGGATTGAAAAGCTTGGAGGGAAAGTGTCATTCCATCCTGATCTTGAGGGGATGAAAGGTCTGGATGGGGGTCAGGGTTCACTGGTGGATCCATGGAACAGCTCCATGTGAGGGTGGGACCCAGGTGGCCTCCAGCAGCTCCTGGTGCTCCACCACACCCCGACAGAGCTGAACTTCCCAGGATTGTAGCACATGGACAGGAAGCATCATTCCATCCTCATCCCAAAAGGTCTGGATGGGGGTCAGGGCTCACTGGTGGATCCATGGAACATCTCCAGGTGATGGTGGGACCCAGGTGGCCTCCAGCAGCTCCTGGTGCTCCAGGACAGAGCTGAACTTCCAGGATTGGAAAGCTTGGAGAGAAAGTGTCATTCCATCCTGATCCCAAGGAGATGAATGTTCTGGAAGGGGGTCAGGGTTCACTGGTGGATCCATGGAACAGCTCCAAGTGAGGGTGGGACCCAGGTGGCCTCCAGGAGGTCCTGGTGCTCCAGGACAGAGCTGAACTTCCAGGATTGTAGCACATGGGCAGGAAGAATCATTCCATCCTGATCCCGAGGGGATGGAAGGTCTGGAAAGGGGTCAGGGCTCACTGGTGGATCCATGGAACATCTCCAGGTGAGGGTGGGACCCAGGTGGCCTCCAGCAGCTTCTGGTGCTCCACCACACCTGGAGAGAGCTGAACTTCCAGGATTGTAGCACATGGACAGGAAGAATCATTCCATCCTCATCTCAAAAGGTCTGGATGGAGGTTAGGGCTCACTGGTGGATCCATGGAACATCTCCAGGTGAGGGTGGGATCCAGGTGGCCCCCAGCAGGTCCTGGTGCTCTGGGACAGAGCTGAACTTCCAGGATTGTAGCACATGGACAGGAAGCATCATTCCATCCTGATCCTGAGGGGATGGAAGGTCTGGATGGGGGTCAGGGCTCACTGGTGGATCCATGGAACAGCTCCAGGTGATGGTGGGATCCAGGTGGCCTCCAGCAGGTCCTGGTGCTCCACCACACCCAGACAGAGCAGGGACTTCCAGGATTGTAGCACTTGGACAGGAAGCATCATTCCATCCTGATCCCAAAGGGGATGGAAGGTCTGGAAGGGGGTCAGGGCTTGCTGGTGGATCCATGGAACATCTCCAGGTGATGGTGGGATCCAGGTGGCCTCCAGCAGCTCCTGGTGCTCCACCACACCTAGAGAGAGCTGAACTTCCCAGGATTGTAGCACATGGACAGGAAGAATCATTCCATCCTGATCCCAAAAGGTCTGGATGAGGGTCAGGGCTCACTGGTGGATCCATGGAACATCTCCAGGTGATGGTGGGATCCAGGTGGCCACAGCAGCTCCTGGTGCTCTGGGACAGAGCTGAACTTCCAGGATTGTAGCACATGGAGGGAAAGTGTCATTCCATCCTGATCCCGAGGGGATGGAAGGTCTGGATGGGGGTCAGAGCTCACTGGTGGATCCATGGAACATCTCCAGGTGAGGGTGGGACCCAGGTGACCTCCAGCAGCTCCTGGTGCTCCAGGACAGAGCTGAACTTCCAGGATTGAAAAGCTTGGAGGGAAAGTGTCATTCCATCCTGATCCCAAGTAGATGAAAGTTCTGGAAGGGGGTCAGGGCTCACTGGTGGATCCATGGAACATCTCCAGGTGAGGGTGGGATCCAGGTGACCTCCAGCAGCTCCTGGTGCTCCACCACACCTGGAGAGAGCTGAACTTCCCAGTATTGTAGCACATGGACAGGAAGCATCATTCCATCCTCATCCCAAAAGGTCTGGATGGGGGTCAGGGCTCACTGGTGGATCCATGGAACATCTCCAGGTGAGGGTGGGATTCAGGTGGCCTCCAGCAGCTTCTGGTGCTCTGGGACAGAGCTGAACTTCCAGGATTGTAGCACATGGACAGGAAGCATCATTCCATCCTGATCCCAAAAGGTCTGGATGGGGGTCAGGGCTCACTGGTGGATCCATGGAACATCTCCAGGTGAGGGTGGGATCCAGGTGGCCTCCAGCAGCTCCTGGTGCTCCACCACACCCAGACAGAGCAGGGACTTCCAGGATTGTAGCACATGGACAGGAAACATCATTCCATCCTCATCCCAAAAGGTCTGGAAGGGGGTCAGGGCTCACTGGTGGATCCATGGAACATCTCCAGGTGATGGTGGGATCCAAGTGGCCTCCAGCAGGTCCTGGTGCTCTGGGACAGAGCTGAACTTCCAGGATTGAAAAGCTTGGAGAGAAAATGTCATTCCATCCTGATCCTGAGGGGATAAAAGGTCTGGATGGGGGCCAGGGCTCACTGGTGGATCCATGGAACATCTCCAGGTGATGGTGGGATCCAAGTGGCCTCCAGCAGGTCCTGGTGCTCTGGAACAGAGCTGAACTTCCAGGATTGAAAAGCTTGGAAGGAAAGTGTCATTCCATCCTGATCCTGAGGGGATGAAAGGTCTGGATGGGGGTCAGGGCTCACTGGTGGATCCATGGAACATCTCCAGGTG